CCGAAGGACAATTTTATTTAGATCCAGATTGTCGTAGACGGATAAAGTCATGATGTCTCAATGGCTGGGTCCTCCCCACTTAAAGTAAATTAAACTTGTAATTGGTTTAATCTTACAAGCAACTTTGAAGGAGTTTTAAACAAGAGCAATGCCCAATGGCCCATTTGGGGAAGTGATGACATCAATGTATTAAAATCTGAATCAACCTCTAATCTGTATACATTTACGTGCAGTTTAAGACTAACGGCAAAAAACAGTATCCAATACTCTAAACACTGAATGGAGTTTATGAGACACATTCTTGCTGCCTAATCTGGGAACTGAGCCTAAACAAACACACTCCCCAATGTTGTGTCAAGACACTGTTTGGCTTGTTTTAGTAACTCTTGTTGTGCAGACACGCCTGTGATTGTTTCAGTGAATCAAGCAGTGTTTTTTCCCCCTGTACTTAATCCTGAGATGCTTAATGAGCATGTGTCTTCCTGGCTCAGTGGATCACGCTCTCGCCTCTGGGTCAGAAGGTTGCTGGTTCAAATCTGATGTTGGTACTCTGAGCTCACAGTATAAACTGAGACTCCAGTGCAGTGCTGGGGGAATGCTTCATTGTCTAACAACGACGACGACAGCAAATTACATTTGTTTAGCGCCTTTCATGTCAGGAGGATGTCCCAAGGTGCTGGACAGTCAGGGATCCGCACTCGAGCTGGTGGTTGGGTTCAAGAGGGGTGGAGGGCGGTGGGGGTAGGGGTAGGAGGGTGACCAATGGCACGGTCGAAGAGGAGGGTCTTGAGACGGGTCTTCAAGGAGGCAGGGGAGGGAGTGAGGCGGAGGGACCGTGGGATGGAGTTTCGGAGGTTGGGGGCAGAGAGGCTGAAGGCCCGCCTACCTTTGGTGGGACGGGCAAGGTGGGGGACGTGAAGCAGACCAGAGCTCGCTGAGTGGAGGGAGTACTTTGGATGAAATGCTAAACCATTTTCTGTCCCATGGGACTGACTGATCGAAAAGCAAAGGCAGTTCTTCCCGGTGTCCTGCCCATCAATCATCCAAATAAAATTGGTCACTACAATTACACAGTCACCGTACTCTAAAGAATATCCCTTGAAATGTTTTAAGACATTTTGACAATGTGATAAAGTGATATAATCAAACACAAGAGTGTTATTGAGATATCTGTTGTTAATACTAGCAGTTAATGATCTATATTCCCCTCTGTCTGAAATTGGCATTCATCATACTTTGTAAGGATGCTATGGCTTGCTTTCCATCAGTTCTTGGCTCAGGTACAGGATGTAGTAAGATTTTCCCATGATAGACCCCTTGCCAATAACCAAGCAGAGCCCAGATTGAACACGTGTGCAGTTAGCAAGCTGGAGATGGTTGAGGCAGCCTCAGGTCTCAGTTGATCTTCACACGCAACATGCAACAATACAAAACTATTGGATTTGAGCTATATAGTGCTCTGGTCAGGCCACAACTAGAGTACCGCAAACAGTCACTGTGACATAACAGGGCTGCACATGTCCTAAGCACAGCACAGAGGAGAATAACCAGGGTGATCCCCAGTGTCAGTGGAATAATAATAATCCTTGTGTTTGGTATAGCTCCTTATCACGTCTTCGAGACGTCTCAAAGCGCTTCACAGAATATACTGTAAAGTATAGTGACTCTGTATTTTGTGGGCGGCCAGTTGTCCCACAAACAGTCGGGATTGAATGACCGCCACTCAACTAACAACCGGGTTCCTACTTACTGCCGGGTAAACAGTACATGGTGGCGTGTGGAGAAAAGAAACTGCCTAAGGTTTCACCCCGCCCGGGAATCGAATGCGGATCCTCACACTTGCGAGGCGAGCTCGCTAACCGCTACGCTACAGTACGCCGCAGAATGAGCTACGAGCAGCAATTAGGCCAGCTATGGGCTCTTCAATCTTGTTAGGAGACGACTCAGAGAGAACCTCATGGAGGTGCACAACATTTTAAATGGGATTGAAACAGTAAACCCAGAACAATATTTTCAGATGCACCAAGACAGTCGAACAATAAGACATGGATTTACAGTTGCAAAGTCCAATTTTATGACAGACGCCTGGAAATATTTATTTACCCAGAGGGTAGTTAATGAATTGAACAGGTGGCCAGGAAAAATGTCTGAGGCCAGAATCATGAACTTATTCATAAAGCAGCTTGATGTTGTGACAGGAGGATGGCAGGGCAGATGGATGAGATCAAATGGGCCAAAGGGTCTTCTTTACTTGAACCAATCTTGTCTTTTTTCTTCAGAAATGTTTTTCTGGATATTGGCTTTCATGCTGGTTTGTAAGAATTCAGTCTATTAAAGGATGCAAGGAATGGTTCATAATATGTAGTTGTGTCTAGTAAAATACTGCAGTACTATAATAATCTTTACATTTAGTATAGCACCTTTAATGTCTCAAAGCGTATCACAGAATATTTTGTAAAGTGCAGTGACTGTGCGATTCGTGGGGGAACCCAACAGCTAATTTGTGCGCAGCAATGTTGCACAATTCACGTTCCGTAATAATAATAATAATAATAATATAGCACCTCATCACTTTTTTGAGATGTCTCAAAGCGCTTCACAGAATATACTGTAAAGTGAATTGACTGTACATTTTGTGGGCGAAACGCGGCAGCCAATTGCGCACAGCAGCGTCCCACAAACAGTCGGGGATTGAAGTGACCAATTTATTATTTTTTTTGAAGGAATTATTACTCATGGAAAAATGATCTGCCAATCGACTAACAACCGAGCTCTTACTTACTGCGAGGTGAACAGAGGCGTGTGGAGTAAGGAAACTTGCCCAATATTTCGCCCTGCCGGGAATCGGACCAAGAAGTGCATCACTTATTTTATTTGGGGGTTGTTGGCCACGGCACCGGGAAAAACTCAGTTGATACAGTGGAACCCATTTATAACCCAAGTTTGCTTTGTAGCGCGATCGGGGTATGGATCAGAAGCATCTTGCTGTCAAATGGTGCCTTTAGGATGTTTTACACACATGCATCAGTGAAAGGGGAGGTCAATTTCAGCACATTTTTACATTTTCAATAAAACCTTATTGTAGCCTCTTTCCCATTTACTTGTTTTATTTCTGATTTGTTGTGGAGGGGGGTGCGGTAGAGGGTGGGGGGGGGAGGGAGAAAGGTTGCGAGATGCACATGAAATGAAATCTGCCATTTGGTTTCCAAGGAAACTGCTCGTAACCCCTATAATTGGTTCTTACAGGCAAAAATTTTGCAGTTCTATTTTAAATTTCCGCAGCTGGCAAATGACATTTGCAGTCATGAGCTTGTTGTACAGACTCTCTGTTTAGCAGATGTGCTGAAAACACAAAGTCAGAGCCCCTTCTAATTTTATGCTTTAAGCTTTTATATTCCAAATAAATCATACCCAAACACTAGCAACACACCTAAGTTTGCTTGTAGTTGGATTGGGTCACATTGCATATTACTTTGGAATTTGAAATCACAGTAGATACTGCATTGTCGGAGGTGACGGCCTTCTGATGAGATTTTAACGATGATGAGATGAGACAGCACCCGTTTGCCTGTTCAGGTGGACATTAAGGATCCCATGGCACTGTTCAAAAAGAAAAGGGAGTTTCTGGCCAACCAGGAAAAATTGGTCACTCACTTCACAGCTGTATGTAGGACACTGCTGTGCGCAAATTGGCTGCCATGTTCGCCTGCAAAATTCAGCATTCCACAAAAAATCCTATCATAATTATAATAAACCTTGATTTGATATAGCACCTTATCACCTCGTTGAGACGTCTCAAAGGGCTTCACAGGATATACTGTAAAATGGATTATTATAATTATTGTTTGAAATTGTGGTGGAAGCTGATTCGATAACAACGTTTAAGAGAGAAGCAGATAATTATTTGGGGAGGACAAGTTTGCAGGGCTATGGGGAGAGAGCGGGGGAGTGGGATTGATTTGGATAGCTCTTTTCAAAGAGCCGGCACGGACACGATGGGCTGAATGGCCTCCTTCTGTGCTGTATAATTCTATCACTGTATATTTTGTGGGCAAGACGCGGTAGCCAATTGCACACAGCAGTGTCCCACAAGCAGTTGTGGATTGAGTGATCATATTTTTGGGGGGATGGGGAGGGTGGGGGGATTATTACTTGCCTACGGTTTTGCCCCGCCCAGGAATCAAACCCACCTCCTCTCGCTTGTGAGGTGAGCGCTTGCGTTAACTCACTTTCCTCTCTCCATAGATGGTACTTGACCTGCTGAGCTTTCCCCCCCTCTCTCTCCCCCTTCCCTCCTCTCTCTCTCTCTCTCTCTCTCTCTCCCCTAACGTTAACTCACTATGAAGCGCTTTGAGACATCTTCCTGACGCAAAAGGCGCTGGATTGAAAGCCAGGACTTAAATGTTATTAAGCCTACAAAACAAAATTACATTTGTAAGGGGCCTTTCACGTCGGCAAGACATTTAATTATGTATGAAACAAAAGGATTATTATTATTAGTATTAAAAAAAATTCCAGTGAAGGAAATTCAGTGCTTAGGAAGTTTAAAAGGAGACTTCTGTTTCAAAGTTTTTTTATGTTTGGGGGAGGGGGGGTGGGCGGGGGGTGCAATTTGAATGTCTCAGTTCGTGATTACGATAGCTATAAAAATCCCATTTCGATCATTAGAAGTGTCTGAAGTAAGAGGGGGGTGGGCGGACTGCAGCCCTTTTATTTTTTCCCCGAAAGAACAGCGCTAATGAGAAACAGATTCGTTTTAAGAAACTTATGATGACTGGAAAGAGCAGATGACCTGCGCTCTGAGACGTCATCGGGCGCGGAGGGCGTTATATAAATCCAAGTTGTTGTTGTTGTTGACCTCACACATTCCACACACGCACACACACACATACACCGCCCCCCCCCTCCCCAATCACCCCCTACCCTCACCCCCACCACTTCCATCAGACAAGTCCACAGTGTGGTTTTGTTAACAATGACTGACTGCTGAGAAAGAGCTCAATCTTTGATCTCAGCAACGTCAGAGGAGGGTTGGGCAAGAAAAAGCTGCAATCGAAATAAAGCCCCATCTGGACATGTTACAACAGGATCCCAACAGCAGAGCAGAGGCAGATCAGTGGGAGAGAGGAGGAGGAGGAGGAGAGAGGGGGAGAGAGAGAGAGAGAGAAAGAGATAAAAGAAAGACAAAAAGAAAGGGAAAGAGAGAGAGAAAGCTAGAAAGAAAGAAAGAAAGAAAGAGAGAGAGAGAGAGAGAAAAAGAAAGAAAGAGCAAAGGAAAATGAGTTAAAATAAAACCAGCAGTGCCATCAGATTCCCAAGCCTTCTTATTTTCCCCTAATAGAATAAATTCCCTCAACACCCACCCACACAACCCACTGCATCTCAACCACAGTGCAACTCAAGAGAGGAGCAGAGAGAGAGAGAGAGAGATAGAAATAGAGAGAGAGAGAGATAGAAATAGAGAGAGAGAGAGATAGAAATAGAGAGAGAGAGAGAGAGAGCAACAATGAATGAGCAGAACGTCCTTAAGGAAGGGCTGTTGGAGAAGAGAAGCGATGGTTTGCTGCAGCTTTGGAAGAAGAAGAATTGCGTGTTGACAGAGGAAGGTCTGTGTGTCTCTGACCCCAAGACCAGTCGGGGATCCAAGTGCAAAGTGCTGCCCTTCCAGAGCATGAAGACAGTGGACTGTGTGGAGAGGAAGGGCAGGTATGTCTACTTCACGGTGGTGATGATGGACAACAGGGAGATTGACTTCAGGTGTCTGGGAGACACCACCTGGAATGCGGAGATCACCCTGGGCATGGTTCACTTCAAAAACAGGCAGGCCATCCAGTCGGTGAAATCCAGGCAGCTGGCGCACATCTGCACGCCCAAAGCCATCAGTGCCATGTCCTGAATCCTCAATCCCATCCCTTCCAGCCCTGCGGACAAGCGAGGTGAGCGATTAACAGTAATGATGACAATAATAATTAATAATCCTAATCCTCGTGTTCGGTGCAACGTGAAAGCGCGTGGCGGGATTTACCGTGAAGCGGGATTGAGTATTTGTGGGCGAACCAGCCAGACAGTTTTAAGCGGATTAAAGACATTAATATTAATAATAATAATAATAATGCTTGCATTTGGTACAGCGCCTTATCACTTTGTTGAGACGTCTCAAAGCGCTTCACAGAATGTACTGTAAAGAGAATTGACTGTACGTTTTGTGGGCGAAACGTGGCAGCCAATTGCGCACAGCAGCGTCCACCCACACAAACACTCGTGGATTGAGTGACCAAATTATTATCAGTTATTCACTTTCGAAGAGATTATTACCCCCGGAAAGCTATCCACTGATCGACTGACAACTGGGTTCCTGCTTAATGCTGGGTAATAAAAATAATAATCATGCAAAACAAAAACAGAGAGAGAGAGAGAGCTGGGAACACTCAGCAGGTCAGGCAGCATCTATGGAGAAAGGAAAGTGAGTCAACGTTTCTGATGAAGGGTCGTGGACCCGAAAAGTTGACTCGCTTTCCTTTCTCCATGGATGCTGCCTGACCTGCTGAGTGTTCCCAGCTCTCTCTCTCTCTCTTTCTCTCTATTTTTGTTTCAGATTTCCAGCATCTGCGTTATTTTGTGTTTTGAATAATAATAATGGGTTTGGTACAGCGCCTTTCACGTTCGCAAAGCGTTTCGCAGGATTGACTGTGAAGTGGGGTGACTGACTGGGTGTTTTGGGGCAAACTCAGGCAGTTAGTCTAAGTGGCTGAAAGACACTCGTGGCTCAGAGGGAGGCCATTCGGTGCAATCTGGTCTGCACTGGGCTCTGAGAGATGCTCCGGAAATTTATTGTTGTTGTTCGTTCAATCTCACTGCTCTGCCTTTCCACCCAAGTTTTCACTGTGCACACCGCCAGTCCTGATTCTTAATGTGTCAAAGCTCTTCACAGGATTTACTGTAGTGACTGTGTGTTTTGTGGGGGGGAAGCCCCAGATTATCACCTTTTTCTGGGTTAATTCTTTTTTTTACAAAAAAATGTTCTTTATTTCTATTCTGTGGGGGCGGAAGGGGTGGGTGGCTGAATTTTATACACCTCACAGTGAGGACGTGTTAGTGTCTGGAAATGGCTATTTGTCCCGTGTCGTGGGTACCATCTTAAGCATCAAGTGTTCTTGATGGATAGAGTAAACGTTCCTGTGATCTGCGCACTCTTCCCACCCCCTCCCCCCCCACCCAATCACCCCTGCCACCCCCAAAAAAGCATGGCATTTCTCCTGATGTCCTGGCCAACGATACCCCAGACAAATTCACTTGATGGCCGTTTGTAGGACATTAATGTGCACAAATTGGCTGGCATCTTTGCCTACAAACTACACTTCACAGGATATCCTGTGAAGTGCTTTGGGACGTCCTCCCGAAGTGAAAGGGGCTTTCTCTCGAACTGAAGGATCGTCGTTATTCTTTAAAATCAAAAAAATCAAAGTTTGTCCCATTATTATTGATAGTAACCATGTGCTTGAAGCCCAAGTTGAGAAGAACACCCCATCCTAGTGCACAGGTCTGACGTGTTTAATTTCCCTCACCAATTCGAGTCAACCCGCACTCAGGGTCTGAGCTAACGTTGTCCAAACATTTCCTTTCAAGGCAATTAAAGTACATTAAGGTGTCAGCCTGCCCCAGTTCTGAGACAGAAAGTTGAGAGGGTCAAGCCCCTGTGGTGATTTTGACACACAATCTATACTGACAATACAGTGCTGTGCTGGGGGGGTTGGGGGGCGAGCTCTGTATTGCTGGTTTGTGCCATGATTTGGATGAAGTGTTAAGACAAGGTGTTGGCTGACTGTTCAGGTGGATGTTAAAAATCCCCTGCCCCGGTTCCAAACGAGAAGGGAATTTCTCCCGGTGTCCTGGCCAACAATCCCCCAAATGAAGTTGGTCAGTAACTTTGTGGCTGTCTGTGGGATATTGCTGTGCGAGTATTAGCTGCAGTCTTCATCTACAAATACACAGTTACTACATTTTATCTGAGAAGTGCTTTGAAATGTTTTGATGATGTGAAAATTGCTATGACAAATTCAAGGATTATTATTATTATTATTTTTATTTGACTTGGAATGAGTTTGTTTTTCTCACAGACGTCTCTGGTCCTCAGTGAAGTGACTGAATCAGCCACTCTCGGTGCAATGATTATATTCCCATTTAACAAAGGAGAGGCCGATGGGCCCATAAGAGAAGAGTCTTATAGAGAAGGGTTACAATAATAATAATAAACCTTGCATTTGATATAGCACCTTATCACATTGTTGAGACGTCTCAAAACACTTCACAGAATACACTGTAAAGTGAATTAACTGTATATTTTGTGGGCGAAACACGGCAGCCAATTGCATAATCCAGTGTCCCACAAACAGTTGTGGATTGAGTGACCAAATTATCCCTATTATTTAGCATTTTCTTTCAAAGGGATTATTACCCCTGGAAAAGCAATCTGCCAATCGACTAACAACTGGTTCCTACTTACTGCTAGGTAAACAGAGGCATGTGGAGTAATACAAAGTCATCTACAACTGTTAGGACACAAAATTAGAGTTATTTACACTTTCCAAAAACTTTTACTTCAACAGTGAGAGTGTCATCCAAACCCAATGTGGTATTATGTTACACTGAGGTTTAACTGACAGTTGAGTTACCATTACACCTGATTGCTTTTATCGTCCTGTTCAGTAATAGTATTTGTGCTGGAAGGTTCGTGCAGTTAATTAGGGTGTCTGGAGACAAGAGGACTCGACAATTACTTCTTCAGTTAAACTTCTACTGCCATGAATTATTGTAACAGTGCGCCGGAGGCAAAAAGAGCTCATTATAGATATGCCAGATTGACTATTTAGCTTCGGAAAACACTTGGAGCTTCATTAAATTACACAGCACAGAAAAAGGCCAATTTGGACCAACTAGTCCGTGCTTGTGTTTATTTTCCACACCAGTCCTCCACCCTTCCTAACCCTTCAATTTCCTTCTACCTCGCGTGTAAATGACTTGGGCTTTCACCTTGTTGCAGGATGATTGGTTAAAAGTCTCCAGAGTCAATATATTACTACGATGGCTCATACTTTTTCAGTGGGGGAATGTTTTTTGTGATTTATGGAAAACTTTAATGCAGTGCTGCTGGTGATGTGTAGGAATTAGCACTGGTCTCAGCAGATGGTATTGGGAAAATCAAACACCCCCTTCTGTGTGCGTGCCTATAATATGTGTATGTTACCTGATTAGGGGGTAATAATCTCTTCAACTAAATAAAGAAATAATAATTTGGTCACTCATTCCACGACTGTTTGTGGGACGCTACTGTGTCACGTTTGGCCCACAAAATATACACTAAAATATACAGTCAATTGACTTCACAGTATATTCTGCGAAGTGCTTGGAGACGTCTTGAAGACTTGATAAGGTGCTATATCAAATGCAAGGATTGTTATCATTATTATCTGTGAATCTGAAAACAGACGACAACAGTTTGCACTTATACCGCGCCTTTCACAAAGATGCCAACGAGTTTTACCAAGTCTTGAGTCGCAGCTCAAGTTGGGAGGAAGGTAATCAAGTAATAATATAATCCTAACATTTGATAGTGATAATATAACACCTTTCACATTGGGAAGATGACTCAGTCAGCATCGTAGGATATATACTGTAGAGCAGTGGTGGCCAATAGTTTTAGTCGGCCAACAGAATAAATTTTCTTGATTGAAAATGTCGTGATTCATGCCACAAATCAAGAAAAATTCCATCAAGAGAAAAATAGAAACTAAACCTTGATTTCAAACCAGACCCACCTAGATGAGTGCGAATGTTTCAGGCAGGGGAGGAGGGGGAAGGGAACTCCTTGACCACCCCAAGTGCCACTTCTGGCCCATGGGCCATGGGTTGGCCACCAATGCTGTAGAGTGTGGTGACAGGGGTGGTATGTAGGTGAACATGGCTGCCAATTTGACACATAGCAACGTCTCAGAAACAGCCATGAAGTATCAGCCATCGTGGTAATATATTGACTCTGGAGACTTTTAACCGATCATCCTGTAACAAGGTGAAAGCCCAAGTCAATAGTGGGATAGAGGTAGAAGCCAATAGTAGTTGGGGACGAGGTAAATGATCTGCGGCTAGTTGTTGCTTTCGCGTGTTAATAGGTTAGACAGCTCAATGTGAGGTCAGATCAAAGTGCTTGTTTTTTTTCATGGGGTTTGTGGGTGGGAGGTACACCCAGAGGCATCATGCTAAAATATAATATCCTCCAATATCATTTCAAGCCTCTCCCTGTAATAAGAAGGTGTTGACAGTATTGTATCATAATACATGTTAGTCATTGGCCACTTCTCATATTAATAGAAATTAATACGCTGAATGTTTTCAGTGTCGGTTTTGACGCTTATATTTTTTCATCCGATGTTTAGGCTAATTGAACCCCAATGGTCATGAATACTATAATTATAATATTCCTTGCCTTCTTGGCTGCTGCATTTTGCTCATACATGTATACGGTCAATCCATTTTAGAGTATATCTTGTGAAAGCGCTTTGAGATGCCTCGAAGGTATGATGAGGCGCTATATCAAATGCAAGGATTATTATTATTATTACGTAATTAAAACAACTCAAAGCGTTTCACGGAATTTTACCGTATAGTGTAGTGCCTGTGTATTTTGCAGGCAAGCAGGGCAGCCAATTTGCGCCCAGCAATGTTTCACAACAAGCATGAAAACGACTGACCAATTTTATCTCGGAGTCCTCGCCAGGAAACAGGATATCTTTGACGTCCACCAGAACAGGCAGTCGGGAGCTTCGTTTTTTGTCACATCTCATCTGAAGGATGCCACTACTCGCAATACAGTGCTCCCGCAGTATTGCACTTGAGTGTGAGCCTAAACAGTGAGCTCAAGTCTTGACATATAGCTTTGAACCTCATTCATCTGAGTCAGGGGCAAGAGTGCTACCAACTGAGCCAGGTTGACATCTAAAGTTAAGGCTGAATCTATCCAGTACAGAATCTATCTAGCCACAGGGGAGGGATGCAGTCTAATGCATGCTGATCAAGGAAAATGGCAATTATTCGTTACTTAATGGAATTTCCCATTAAAAAGTAATAAAATCTCACTATGTTTCATTATGTACTTTACAGGCCCCATTGTGTCAGAATGCTTCCATTTGAATGTAGCTCAGTATGGAAATGATCCTGTGCCTCTAGCTATTGATTTTATTTCACAACATGAACGAATTGTGTTTAGCAGTGTTCTGCATGAATAATGGATTGAAAAAAATAACATTCATGGCATGTAAGTGAGAACTGTAGATTGACTTTCAAACACCGGCATCATTTTTCTCATGGTCTGAGTTCATTAATGAGGAAATAATAAGGCACTGCAATAAGGTGGCAGCCTCTCAAACTGATTACTTTTGTCAGGATCTCAACAAATCATTGCAAATGTCAATGGCTAGCACCTCAAAACCAACTGCACCTTTAACGCCTGATAAGGCGCTATATATCAAATGCGACACTTATTGGAGTCGTATCTCATTAGAAAGTTGTTTGCTTAATGAGTCATTGCTGTGTGCAAATTGGTCGCCTACAAATACACTTACTACACTTGAGAATGAATCCTGTGAAGCGCTTTGGGACATTTTGCCAACCTGATAAGCTGCTATGTCAAATGTAAGGATTATTGTTCTTATCAATAATTATGAAGCTGTCAGGAATGATCAGAAACTCAACTGGATTAGAAAGGATCTATGAAAAAAAAGCTTGTGCATTATATAAAATAGATTCCAGATTCATAAGGTAAAGACTAATGCAGTTTTTCAGTTAAAATTAGCATGGTTTGCATTTTATAGAAACAATCTGTAAATCACTCTGGTATCTGTCATTCTCAATACACAAATCAACAACGCAGTCAACTTTTAGAGAGCTGTAATATGGCACAGTTCAGCAATCCTGCTTTAAGAGGCCAACAAAGAAAGACTTTTTGTTTACCAATTCAGCAATCTTCCAATCTTTGAGGAGAGAGAAAGCATCTCAAACAGAAAAATGCCAGTGTGATCTGATTTTCTGAACTGAGAATAAAGTGTATTAATAACTAATATTGTTTGTATTTGATTTAGTGTCTTTCTCAAAGGGAAAAAATGTCTCAAAGTACTTCTGCGATCTAGCTGCTGCGTTTTCCTACAAAATACAAACTCGCTATATACTTTGCAATATTTCCTGTGAAGTGCTTTGAGATGCTCTCCTGATGTAAAAGGCGTTGTAAGGATTATTATAATTTTCATCATTATTATAATTATTATGACAATCTCAGAAATAACACAGAGGGATTGTAAACCAAAGCTGGGTAGGAAAATCAACCAGCCTAATAATCCTTGCGTTTGACAGAAATAGTTTCCCTCAGGCACTACTCAGTGAGAAAGTTATTAATCTTCGGTGTTTTCCAGCAAAGCAAACGTAACAGGACAGCTGCAACCATTGGTATAGTTTCATAAGCAGCAATCTTTATTCCCTGCCGCAGTGTGGGAGTGATTGTGTGCAGTAAACAAACTCAGCCTAGGCTCTCTTTGATCTTTCTCACTCCCCCACACAAAATATAGTGGTAGCAGTCAGACATCTGTTGGGAAATACAACCACATTGTGTGGCACTAAAATCCAAACTGCACCCACACCCAACATGCATCAATATTTTCTATGGGTGATAGATACCCAGATAGACATTGCAGGAGAGTTTCGATAGAACTTGCCAAGGGGAAAGCCGATGGAGTTCTAGGGGTATTCGTTGATTCATTGCTTACAGTGTCAACACAGTATGAGGCAGCAATAAATAACACAGATGGGCTGTGAGGTTCTATTCCCAAAGGAGTTTGAGTTTAGATCCTAGAGGTAGTGCAGAGGAGAACAATGATGGTATTCATGTCAGAGGATTGAGCTCAGAACAATGATTATACAAGCTAGGGCTCTTCATTCTTGAAAGGAGACATCTCAGAGTGGACCTTACAGAGGTCTACAAGATATGGGATGGAGAAAGCAAACTCAGTATAGTGCTTTTGGATGCACCAAAACAGCAGAACAAGAGGACGTAAGTTTAGAGGTGCAAAGGGCAATTTCTATACAGATACAAGGAAATATGCCTTTACCCAGAGGGTAATTAACAACTGGAACAGATTGCCAGGAATAGTTGAGGCCACTATGTCTGATCCATTAAGAACAACAGTTTGCTGCTAGGTTGCAGGGAGGCCATTCTAGAAGGATGAGATTGAATGGGTCAAAGAGCCTTCTTCATTCAAACAAATCTTATGATTTTATGAGCTCAGGATATCTATTATATATCATGTATTTAAAAAAAATAACCAGGAGCATCATTGAAGCAAACTTATTCTTAACTGAAATACTGTGTGATAATGAAATTGGGAAATTGCTTTAAGAAACATAAACTGTAGCATATTGGTTAGAGCACTCGTCTCGCTACGAAGAAGACCCGGGTTCGATTCCCGGGTGGGGCCAAACCTTAGGCAAGTTTCCTTACGCCACACTCCTCTGTTTATCTAGCAGTTAGTAGGAATCCGGTTGTAAGTCGATTGGTGGATCGGTTTTCTAGGGGTAATATTCCCTCCAAAAAATGTTAATAATTTGATCACTCAATCCATCACCGTTTGTTGGACGCTGCTGTGCGCAATTGGCTGTCGTGTTTTGTCATAAAATATCCAGTCAATTCGCTTTACAGTATATTCTGAGATGTCTCAATGATGGTGATATAGCGCTACATCAAATGCAAGGATTATTATTATTAGAGATCTGGTGTAATCCCTGCAAAATCTTTGCTTGGCAACTGTCTCTAGCTTCCATGTGCTTTCGCGAGACTTGGAAATAATTACACAGAAATAATGTTTGGAAGCTAAGTTTACAGCCACTCTGCCCAAACCTCTAGAATTCTCTACCTCAATCCCCTCTGCCTTGCACCCTCTGCCCATTTTCAGATCATATCTGAAGACTTTCCCCAAACTATTCCATTGTTAAGCGCTCTCAGCCTACGTGAAGGTGCTATATAAATGCAAATTGTTGAAGCAAATATTCGTCAGTATCATTATGATCAAGTAACCTCTACCTCCTTTTTGCTAGTCTTTATTCAATGCCTTAAATTGTTTTAAATGTTGTTTTTAGGTATTATTGATGTGCAGAAGTGAAGAGCGAAAACTGAGCAGAATGACTGAAAATGCATCTGAAACCATCAGAAGATGATACCTCAGTTCAGCCAAGCGACAATCATACATCAAAACGGGAGAATTTCCCCCCCAAAAAGGACTGCGTTGTAATTCTCTCGAGGAATACATTCATTCGTCACAATGCAGTTCTGTGTCTTAATTTTTTAAAATTATTTATTATTGAATGACCAATACCCATTGTACGGATAACATGGCAATTTCCATTTACAATGCATTGTGAAATCACTCATGCCTACTTATATTTATTGAGATAAAACATGTTGTGTTTTAAATGCTTGACATTGTGTTTGTACTCTACCAAATGGAAACCTTACGATTGACAGAGTGAGGTTTTTCTTTTGGTTTGTGCTAACCTGTAAATAGAGATGCGAATGGTAAATGATGAATGTTATATATGTGCATATATATATCTACAGCTGACAGCAGAATATCCAATCTACCATTGAATGCTATGCCAACGTGGATCACAGTAGATTGCTGGGCATTTAGAATAAAGTGCTTTTGGCTTACATTTGGAGATTACGCCTCTGACTTGAATAAAACAAATGCAATCCTTTTCTAAAGCATAACAAGTGCATCAGATCATCTTGAGAATAAACATCTCCACTCGCTCCTTCCTGGTTTCACCAGCCACCTCACCCCCACCCTCCCCCAAGCTAGAAATTGTCCATGTTCCTGGTGTCCTGACCAACACTCCGTGGCTGTTTGTGGGACAATGCTGTGCGCAAATTGCCCACAAGATAAACAGCCAATCTACTTCACAGTGAATCTTGAGTGATAATATGTAAGGCATTCATCTCTATTGCATTGTTTGCTTCTATTCTCATTATCACGTTGGGCATAACCACAGTCTCTCCATCTGGTACCAGACAGCAGTTCAAAAACAACTTGCGCTTATACAGCACCCTTCACAAAGGATGATGACTCGGACTGCTCCTCGATGACTGGGTTGGACAATATGCATGGGAGAGTGTAGGGTTAAATAGCCGCTGCTCAAGAGGTAGGATCTTAGGTGGAATTTAAGATAGATAAAGATGGGTCGAGGGAGGGAGTTTCAGAGGTTAGAAGCTGAGTAAGCTGTCAGCTTGTCCATGGATTGTGACCAGAATAGGGCAGAGAGCACACTGTAGGCCTGAATTAACTGAACGGAGGGGGCGAGCAGAAGGATAAAGGGATTTATGGGTGAGGATGAATATACAAATAATGTGGAATAGCTGCCTTCATTATACACACATTTTTTAAGTTTCAGATTGAGCAACCCATTCAGTTTCTTTTTCACATTGTTCACAAACCACAATTGCTACATAATTGGACACTCAAAGGCGGGCATGGTTAAAGCTGTGGAGGCCTCAATTAATTTGAACGTCATGTTTTCTGAGCCTCAGGGATCTAATCTGCAGTTCAGTGTCAGTACAACATGTTTTCCTGGATAATTTCAGACCAATAGCACCAAGGTTTCTAATCAACATATCTGGATTACCACCAGGTTGTTTCTACCAGGGGTCAAAGGACTCATTTCCTGCTTATTAAATTTCAATTTTTGTTAGGCCAGCTGGATGTCTGACACGGTAAAGATCCCAAGATGCTACTCAAAAAGGGAAAGGAGTTTGACCTGGTTACCCTCCCAAGAATCCTCCAGATAAAATTCATCATTCACTTTGGTGGCGGTTTGTGAGATATTGCTTTGCGCAAATTCATTACAGATGCGAATAGCAAACCCATCACCATGTTTAAGAGTATCCAAACCAAACAAATGAAAGGCCTACATATGGGAACTTCCCTGAAATGTCTGAAATGGAATACATGCTCTCTCCCCAGAGCGATGCACCCTGTTTATCTAAACCCTGAACGTATTAGGTGAAGGTTGGCGAGATCCAGGGCTTGGCGACTCCAGAATATGTTGGGGGTCACTACTGCAGCTTAGCATGATAAAATAATGCAGCTTGTTATTGTAAATACTATCTTATCCAGCTAAGGACTATTTAACCCATTAGGGCTTTGGTTTGCAGGCTTAACAGGAGCCCAGTGTCTGGTCTGATTCTCTATTTCTTGGTGATGAGCCAGATCCGTCACCAACAACAACAACTTAGCGAAATAAACTAGCGAACTAGCGAAGAACATAAAGACAGACTAAGAGTTTTTATAAATATATAAAGAGGAAGAGGCTGTCAAAGGTAAATGTGGGTCCGCTACAGGCAGAGACGGGGGGAATTATAGTAGGGAAGAAAAGACATGGCAGAGTCATTAAACAAGTACTTTGCTACTGTTTTCACCTTAGAAGACACTGAAAACCTACCAAGAATAGAGGGGAACCAAGAAGAAAATGTTGGCGAGCAACTTGGAGGAATTAATATTAGTAAAGAAATGGTTTTAGGTAAATTATCAGGTCTTAAAACTGATAAATCTCCTGGACCTGATGGCCTACATCCTAGGGTTTTAAAAGAGGTGGCTACTGAGATAGTGGATGGCTTGTCTTTGATCTTCCAAAATTCTCTGGATTCTGGAACGGTTCCCATTGATTGGAAGATTGCAAACGTAACACCACTATTTAAGAAGGGTGGGAGAGAAAAGATGGGGAACTATAGACCAGTTAGTCTGACATCAGTGGTAGGGAAAATTCTTGAGTCCTTAATTAAAGATGTTGTTATGGGATTCCTGGAAGACCATAACAAGATTAGGCAGAGTCAACATGGCTTTACAAAAGGGAAGTCATGCTTAACTAATCTTTTAGAGTTTTTTGAAGATGTATCTAGCAGGTTAGATAGGGGGGAACCAGTAGATGTAGTATATTTAGATTTTAAAAAGGCATTTGACAAAGTGCCACACAAAAGGCTATTGCACAAGGTTAAGGCCCACGGGATTAATGGGAACATATTAGCATGGATTGAAGAGTGGCTAACGGGTAGAAAACAGAGAGTAGGGATAAACGGGTCATTCTCGAATTGGCAGGATGTGACTAGTGGAGTGCCACAAGGATCAGTGCTTGGGCCTCAGCTATTTACAATTTACATCAATGATCTAGACGAGGACATTGAATGTAACGTATCTAAATTCGCGGATGACACTAAACTAGGTGGGAGAGTAAGCTCTGAGGATGATGCAAAAAGATTGCAACGGGATATAGATAGGCGAGGGGAGTGGGCGAGTAGGTGGCAGATGGAATTTAATGTGGGGAAGTGTGAAGTTATTCACCTAGGTAGAAAAAATAGAAAAACAGATTATTTTCTAGAGGGGGAGAGATTAGATAGTGATAGTGTTCAGAGGGATTTGGGTGTCCTTGTACACCAGTCTCAAAAAGTTAGTTTGCAGGTGCAGCAGCAACTAAGAAGGCGAACGGCATGTTAGCGTTCATTGCAAAAGGTTTAGAGTACAAGAGTAGGGAAGTCTTGCTGCAACTGTATAGGGCCTTGGTGAGACCGCACCGAGAGTATTGTGTGCAGTTTTGGTCTCCTTATTTAAAAAAGGACATACTTGCCCTCGAGGGGGTGCAGCGTAGATTCACTCGGTTAGTTCCTGGGATGAGGGGACTGACCTATGAGGATAGGCTGAATAAACTAGGGCCGTATTCTCTAGAGTACAGAAGAATTAGGGGAGATCTTATTGAAACATATAAGATTCTGAAAGGGCTGATAAAGTAGACACTGAGGGTCTGTTTCTCCGGTGGGAGAATCTATAACCAGGGGTCACAGTCTTAAAATTAAGGGTCAGCCTTTTAGAACAGAGTTGAGGAAACATTTCTTCGCTCAGAGGGTAGTGATTCACTACCCCAGAAGGTTGTAGATGCTCAGTCCTTGAACATCTTCAAGGCTGAGACTGATAGATTTTTAAAAAATAGAGGGATTAGGAGATATGGGGATAGGGCAGGTAATTAGAGTTAGGTCAGAAGATCAGCCATGATCTTACCGAATGGTGGGGCAGGCTTGAGGGGCCGAATGGCCTACTCCTGCTCCTAATTCTTATGTTCTTATTGTTCTTACATTTATATAGGGCCACTCACGCAGGGTAGCGTCCCAAAGCGCTTGACAGTGGTGGAGCATGACTCCGAGCCAGAGGGAGGGAGGAGGTGATCATAAACAGGGTCGAAGATGAAGATCTTCAGGTTTGACCTGAAGATGGGGAAGGAGGGGCCAAAGCGGGGGATTAAGGGAGAGTGTTCTGTGTTCAACAAGATTCTGTTATTCCTTTGCCAGATATGTCACTTTGGAGTCCATGAGACCCAAAGAATTCCCTCTTCACTCCTTTTCCCCCGAAGAAGATAATCATTATGGCTCTAAGATGTGGCAAATGGCATTTAATTAAATTAAACAATGTACACAATATGAGTCAACAACAACAACAACAAAATTATATTTATAGAGCGCCTTTCACGTCAGGAGGACGTCCCAAAGTCATAGAGTCTTTAAACACTGCTCAACTTGCACAAACAATTCTTGTTAGTAAAAGTCTGACCTGCGAAATTACCCTTCTACAGTATAAAGAACATCCACAGTAATAATAATAACCACATGGGCTTTTCAGGTAAACTGATTCTGAAGCATATTCTCACCGGTGATGAATATTAACATTGGGAGCGTTCTGTTTCAGATAAGAATGAATGTGTGTAAAATTTTCTTGGGATCAATGGATCCTTCTGTAGCTGAACATAAAGGTGTTTGCAAGTAGAATAGTGGTAAGAATTGAACACAATAGAAACTTTTCACAGGGAAACCATGTCCTGAAACTGAATTTGCTTTTGGCAGAGTTGTTAATGGGGGCATAGATGCTCATATATCTATTCACTGGAGTTAAATGTTTTACATATTGCAAGATTTTATAACAATGTTGTGTTTGTTACACTGAAATCTAATAATATCTGTGTGTATGGGGTGGGGGTGGTTGGGGATTATTATATTGTTATGGCTGAAAAGGCAAACACAGATTATTCAAGTTTGCTTACAGTAAATAGTGAGTTAGTCTCTGAAGTTATTCACTTTATAAGCCTCCCTGATCTGAGACAGGTTATTTCCCATTGAGTTCTGATGAAAGGTCATTGACCTGAATCGTTCACTTATTTTCCTCTCTCCATGGATGCTGCCTGACCTACTGCGTGTTCTCTGCGAATTCAATGTTTATACCAGATTTCCAGCATCTGCAGTACTTTGCCTTTTATTTCCCATTGTTGAACTGAGAGTTTTACTTTGGTAGGTGTCTGTGACAACAACAGCAGCAAAATTACATTTGTGTAAGGGGATAAACCCTGTCACTGTTTTTTTATGGTTATTGGTGCTCAACCTATGTGCAAAGGAGCATATGGTTTTATTTTGTGTGACTCAGTAAAAGTGCAAAGGGAGCTAACTTATCAATTTATTCACTTTATAAGCCTGCCTAACATGAGACAGGTTATTTCCCATTGAGTTCTCAAAGCAGGACTCCATTCAGGCTGATAATTGGGAACCAGCCACCATCTAATGAGCACCAGTATAAAGCTGGGGGGATAGTCAGCAGTAAAGGAAGTCTGGAGACGACAGATGT